TTAGAGAAAATGGGGTCCAATTTATAGAGCATGGCCGACCCTCTTTGGGAAAGGGAGTGGCTGGCCTTTGGGTGTTTTTTTGGGGTGTAATGGGTGAGTTATTTGGCAATTAATGGATTAATTAGGTAATAAATCCATTAATTGGCCAATTAACTCAATTTATATGGAATGTTTTGAGGGTTATGGAGTAAATACCTTGTAGGGAATATAAGATGAGGATGGATGAAATAATTTTGAATTTGTTACCTATTTTGGGCACTTTTGGCTTGGTTGAGGGATGTTTGCCTGCTGCTCACGCGTAGGAAAATTGGTGTGCCTCAAGGGTAATTTTGTCATTTTACCTAAAAATACACGTGTCGTCTCTTGATTATTTTTGGCTCCACAACCACCACAAGGTTTCCTCACTTTATAAGGCTTTGTCCCTTATAGAAAGTGATTGGAGTGATGGATCTTAGAGAATAAACTTGGGCTCACCTTTGGAGTTGGGCTTTGGGCTCGGGGTGTAATTAATTATTTTCAGATTTAATTAATTTTTATTTTTTACTGACAGACTCATCCTTTGGATGAAGTCTGAAGTGTGGTGAAAGAATGCAGAAAGCAAACACCCCTCTGAGAAGATGTCTCCCCACAGATGCATCCCTTCTCCATATTTGTTGCGAAGAGGCATAATCATATTATATATACATCCATCTGCATGGCATTTAGAACACAGAAAATATCAAACTTTTCTTCTACATTCCTAAACCTTCTTACTAAGAGAGCCACACTAAAATTCACTAGAAGTTAAGTTTTCTGGTGCTGGAATTCTAACTTGATCGTTGAATCCTAGTGAAGCAGACGTCCATAGAACTACAAGTACTGAGTAGGGACGAAATTTCTATTTCAAGGACATTGCGGTACGTAAGCCTTGATCTTCAAGTTGTCTGTTTTTATATTTTTTTATTCTTGTTCATACTCTGTTAATTTCCTATTCGCATTTATTATTTATTAGCATATATAATTTTATCACAGATTGTTGACATATATCCAATGGTTTCTAGCTTTTTATTTTAAATTTCATTGTGTCGATTTGGGAACGGAGAAGAAGCTCCACTCACTGCAAATCGATCGATTCCCTTTTTACTTATTTATTAATTTACCCGAAATAGAAAAAAGTTGAAGCCAACTTCTTTTTATGTTTCATGTGGTTACATATTCTGATTCTGGCAGCAGATTATGGAAAAGCAGTTCAAGCCCTACTTCCTTGAACCTTTCTTCGAGGTAAGATCTTTGTTTCTTTTGGTCCTGGTATTGCTAGTTAGTTTAGCTTTTGCTTAGAAGTTAAGTTCTCTTTTCCGTCCAGCCTGAGCTTCGTTTCTGTTTCTTTCTATTTATAGCAAGTGGTTTTTGGACAAGGGTTTTTGCTGAAATTAGCAAACAAATATCCATTAACTTTTTTTTTTTCCTGAGAATCTTGGTAAATTTCTATTGAGTTATTGCTATTAAACAGATTGAATGTTTCAATCTTGGCTTGGTTCTTGTAAATGATTGAGATTTAGGATGAGATTGTTAAGAGGATTGACTTTGGATAGGATAACTCGGGAAGAAACGGATATAAAAGATGAATTATTCATGAAGGAAAGTTTTCCCGTCTAATCCCACAACAATAGTAGGATTAGAAGGGATAACTTCGTTCATGACTACTCAATCTTTTACCTTCAATTCAGACAAAATTTGGAGGTTGTCCTCCATTTCTAACGAACGCAGCCTTACAGTCCACGCGAAGTTGCAATACTGCTGCACACTGATCCTTATATATAATTTGTTTGTTTTACTGTTTACACTCAAGTTGTTTGGTTCAGGTCTAGTTCAGTCTCTAAGCTGAATCTTTAGTAAAACTAGTTGTGCAACTGGGATTGGTTTTCGTGTTCAGGTCTTTTCGTTTTTGGCCCGTATTGATGCTATGGTTAGCTATCATGAGTAAGATCTTCAGCTTCTTATGATACAAGCGATATTCTACTTTAAACTAATATAAATTATGGGGTTCCAATTTGAGTGCATAGGAGGGAGTACACCTACTCTTAAGTTGGAAAAATGGCAATGGCTTCTCCTGTCAAAGTGGTTCTTGGCTCGATTGCTTTTGCAGTCTTCTGGGTGTTGGCTGTGTTTCCGGCTGTCCCTTTCTTGCCAATTGGGAGGACTACAGGGTCCCTCCTTGGGGCAACGCTTATGATTGTTTTCCGAGTCTTAACTCCTGATCAAGCATATGCAGCTATTGATCTCCCAATGATCGGTCTTCTGTTTTTGGACAATGGTTGTGAGTATGTATCTCGAAAGAGCAGATATGTTCAAGTATTTGGGCAAGTTGCTCATGTGGAAAACTCAAGGAGCAAAGGACTTGCTCTGTCGAATCTGTTTGATATCTGCAGTTTCGAGCGCCCTCTTCACCAATGACACCTCTTGTGTGATTTTGACCGAGTTTGTTCTGAAAGTTGCAAGACAACATAACCTCCTGCCTCATCCTTTCCTACTTGCCCTTGCCTCGAGTGCAAACATTGGGTCTGCCGCAACCCCGATTGGCAATCCTCAAAACCTTGTTATAGCTGTACAGAGTAAGATATCTTTCGGGACATTTGTGATTGGAATTCTCCCTGCAATGCTTGTGGGAGTTTGTGTGAATGCTTTGATTCTTCTATGTATGTTCTGGAGATTGTTGTCTGTCCAGAAGGTTGAGGAAGATCCAGCTCAGAAACCTGTTGCAGAGGATGATGTAAGTTCTCATCGGTTTTCACCAGCTACGTTGTCACCTAGTACATCCTTAAACTCTAGATTGGAAACCCCGGCTGTAAAAACCTCTTCAAATGTTAATGTGAGCGTAGGTAATGTTGAGACTCTCAGAAACTGCTTACCTTCGAGCAAGAATGAAGTAAACAAGGTTCCTAGTGGTGCGATAGAGCCTGCAAGAATTTCAAGTGCATCAAAAGGGACGAAACAATCCCATCAAAAAGGTCTCCATTGAATGATGGACAAACAGATGCATTTCCTACGGAGTCGTTGGAAGGGAAGGAACATCTAACCACAAGATGGAAAAGGATGTTGTGGAAATCTGGTGTTTACCTTATTACTATAGGAATGCTGATTGCACTGCTTATGGACCTCAATATGTCGTGGTGTGCGATTACTGCTGCACTTGCTCTGGTTGTTCTTGACTTCACGGATGCCAGTCCAAGCCTAGAAAAGGTAAGTATCGCTCTCCGTATGTTAGATTAGACTACAAATGTTAACAAGTTTGATTCTCTTTCTTTGACAGGTCTCCTATTCGTTCTTGATTTTCTTCTGTGGAATGTTTATAACCGTCAGTGGATTCAACAAGACCGGCATTCCAAGTGATCTTTGGGACTTCATGGAGCCCCATGCGCAAATTGATCATGCTAGCGGGATAACAGTTCTTGCAGTCACCATACTTGTGCTGTCGAATTTGGCTTCAACTGTACCAACTGGTATGTATCTTGATATTATTTTCTGTCTGCACTACAAATATTCTCAAACTTTCAGCAGCCACTTAACATGTATTTTCTTTCTTATGTGTTGGATAGTTTTGTTGCTTGGAGGGCGGGTGGCAGCGTCGGCGGCCCTAATCTCTGCCGCGGAGGAGAAGAAGGCGTGGCTCCTATTAGCTTGGGTGAGCACCGTGGCCGGAAACCTGTCGCTTTTGGGATCAGCAGCCAACTTGATAGTGTGCGAGCAGGCTCGCCAATCTCCACAACTTGCCTACACATTGTCCTTGTGGAGCCATCTGAAATTTGGAGTCCCCTCCACTCTTATAGTCACTGCTATTTGTTTAACACTAGTTAGATGAAACTTTTGGACAACAAAGGAGGCAAGCATCTTTGTATAGTTTTATTTCTACATTTGTATGGGAAAGGTTGCTCCTTTGTGACTGAAAGGTCACGGGTTCAAGTCATGAAAATATCCTCTATGCAAAGTAAGGGTAAGGATGTGTACGATAGAAGTTCCCCTGGCCCTCGCAAAGCATGAAGCCTTGTTGGTTGGGGTCCCTTTTGTTTTTTAAGAAACAATATTATTTTCGCTATGGGGGTGGGCTTAGCCTCACAATGGGCTAACAATAATGTAGTTCAAATTAGTCTTTGGCTAGAGCTGAATCTAAGACATCTCACTTACAAGTTGTTTGTACCATACTTAGGGCTTTCGTATTTAGATCTCGTATAAATACTCGGGAGACTTAAATGTAATTATGTAATAAAGGAAGGGGCAAATATGTAAGAAGTGAGGAGCCCTTATTCTATAAAATGACTCCTCACCCTCACAATTAAGGGGAGGCCAATTCCTAGGCCATCAGAGACCTCACTCTCTCCCTGAGAGGCTCTGAATCTCTCTCCCTCACAAACAAAGAAATACATAATCAGTGTGGACGTAGCCCAAACCTTGGGGTGAACCACGATACATCTTGTGTTATTTACATTTCATGCAGATTCATGGTCGGATTTACGTTGTTCCAAGACCTCCGGTTTTGTGTATCAACACAAGTGAAGAGAAATATCACTAGAACGTAGTACTAAGTGGGATTTTACTATAGGCTCAAAGCCAACATGGTTCTTGAGATTTGCATAATCAATAGAAATGGTCAATTTTAAAAGTTTTGTAACTTAATCGTTTCTTAACCAAATTCGACCCATAATATATCAAAATGAAGATAGTTAAGTGTAGAACAAGATTATACCTATTTGGAAGCCCAATTGTTGCCATAGATGGACGGAATATAGCCTGAAAGTTGACTGGTCCGTGGGAAAACTGGAAAACTCGCCGGAAACTGGGTAAACTTTAAACGTTCATAACTTCTTCAATACTCAACGAAATCGAGTGATTCAAAAACGAAAATCATACTTCTTGACAAGACGAAGAGCATGGTACCTTTCTCTATGGCTAACTCGTGGTGGTTTGGCCGAAAAACGATTCGAAAGTGGCTAATAGTTTGTTTTAGACAGTGAATTTGTGGGTTATGTTGCTTTTAGTTTGTTATTACGTTATGTTTGTTTTTTGGCTTAATTTAAATGTTTGGGAACTTGTGGTTCTGAATGAAAATGTGGGTTTGTGGTATTTTAGCTCAAAGTCTCTTATTTTGCAAGCTCTGGTTTCAAATGCAATCTCTGGTTTTTGAAGATAGTATAAAGGTGGGCAAAGGAGAAGGGCAATTGAAAAGGTTACATAGCTTGCTTAATGATACTCAATGAATCTTGCAGCTGCAACTTTCTTTCTTACATATATATATATGTACACACACATACATATATCTATTAAAATTGGTGATGTTTAGAGAGGCTAAGGATTGATTTGTGAACTGAATTTGTTGTGATGTTTAGATAGGCTAAGTATACATTATATATTTCTATTAAAATTGGTTTTGTGGAGCTATTAGAGCTTGCGTATTAGGTGTTTGTGAAAATTCCACATGGAGTTAGCCTCTAGCTTTAAATCTGTAACATACATATCAAATTCTCAAAATATCAGATATCTTTATCCCTTTCAGGTAGTTGCATATATTAATGCGTATTAACTATTAATTATAGATTATGGCCCTGCTTTGGAACTAATGTATATGTCTTTCTTTTTCATAAGTTGGTAGTATTCTCTTGTACTATGTCAAACGAAATTGAATCCCCATCCTCAAATTTTAAGTTATTAAGAGATATAAAATAATTTATGTAAGCAGCCCAACAAGAGGCAATGGAATGACAGGATGCTTAATATACCTATTTATGATTGTTAGATCGAAGAAGGAAGTTCAATTTATCAAGATCAAGTTTTGGAGTAGCAGACACCACGCCACCTTCGATTTGAGGTATGGAAATCTCGAACTTGGAATATGGCTGCTTTCGTATTGTGTTTTTCTTTGAATGCCTTGGATTGTATGTATGAAATCAAAACTGAAATGATGTTGCAAGTTACCGTACTTTAAGAACAATGTAGTCGTGTTAAAAGTTTTCCCAATATGGCTTTGGTTCAAGTTAGCTGGTAGCAGTGTAGTTATATAAAATTAGTAATAGTGGACCATGGTTCCTTTGGATCTTACATTGCTTGGGAATTGAAGTTAAGTTTGGTTGGCAGCTTTGATTGCCCTGGTAATGCTGCAGTTGACCGTTACTCACAACTGACTCCCAGCTGCATTTATAATCATTCAGGATCGATGAAAATATTCGTTGGGTTTCAATTAATTTTCCCATGACTTGGTCAAGCTTCCATTCGTGACTGATATGATTGTGGATTTATAGTAATAGTACAATCAGGTTTTGTTCTGAAATGGGAAGTAAGACTCATGACTCATGACAGTATATCGCCTATGTTTACCCAAAGGGTTGCCGATGTTAATATATATGCCTTCATTTTGGTTCTACGTTAAAGTTCAGGATTGGCTTCACTGGCCTTTCCTTACTATTTGATCTGCTTTACCATCAATTTTGATCACAGTTTTCATATTTTATAATTGGTGTGTAACTTGTGTCTTATGCATCAAATACCATTGGTGTTTACGATTACTGGAATATTATACTTTAGCATTAACATTCATAAGTGAATGTAGCTTTTAGCTTTGTTTTAATTTTGATGTTTCTGTTTACATTGTTCTAGTACGTGTCTGAGAGATGTCAAACAAGGACTTTGAAAATTACCTTGATGATAAAGCTAATTGGCCAAAACCAATTTGAATGTTAGAATGCAATCAAGGAATGATACTTTGTTTCAACAATTTGAAGACAATGATGTTGATGTGGTAGATGAAGAAAGCTCGGGGGCGAATCAAGAAGGGGAAAACATGCATTTGAATGACGACAATGTTATGAATGATGTTAGAGACCACATAGCTGGATTTTGATTATTGAGCATATATGTGTTGTATTAGCACATGGATATCAAAATAGTATGTCTAAGGTTTAATTTCATATGTTTTGAATATCTCAAAATAAATACATAATTGAAAAAAAAAAAAAAAAAAAACTTTTTTCAAGAGTTAAACCAATCAAGTTTTCAAATTTTTAGATTCAAAAATAGTTTTTAAGTTCAATGCCAAACACGTTTTTGAAACCTTAAAAAAAACTGTTTCTAAGAGATGTTCTTAAAAGTTAGTTTTAAAAACAATTCAAGTTTTTTAGTAGGATACCAAACAGGTTTTTAGTAGTTCGAACGAGATTTATAACAAGACATAAAGCGCAACTTTTGTCCAAATTCTAAACATCCCACTAACCCAGAAAAATACAAAATGACAACTAGCTACTCCAACGTGATCAACACATTTGCTTCATTTTTCACGTTGGTGGGTTATCCTGAGCCCCTCAAATAATTAACAAATCATCCAAACATGTTTTATGTTGGTGGGTTATCATGAACTTCTCAATAATTAATAAATAAACCAGCATGCTTTCACAGTGTATCTACACTATTTGGTTCCAGGAAGTGATAAAACTGAAAGTTGAACAATGTTTTTACTCCCACTATGTCGTTAACTTTTAGCCCTCAAGTCTTAATTAAGTTTTTTTATTGTTGTTATTAAGTTTTGTCTGCATTAAAACAAAGTCACCACCTCCCACTACATCATTAACTTTTGACACCTACAGTTATTTTGAATTAATAGCACATAATAAAGCTACTTTAATTTTCTTCTTTGGAATTACTTTAATGATGCAGGCATCCTTGGTATTTTCTTCTCTGGGATTACTCTAAGGGAACTTAACAAAAAGTTTTCGCTACAGTTTATTTTAACGAAAAATCATATTTTTACACTAAAAAATCAATTATGGTACTATTCATTTTACCCTTTATTTTGTCCTTATCGTTAAAACTCAAAGTTTTCAAACTTTTTTCATTAGTTTTCTTGTACTTTAATTATGCAGGCATCCTTGCATTGCCTTAAAAATGCATGCAATCTCGGACACGTAACAAAGCTGCTCACTTTGATGAGCAATTTTCCCTAAAAAAAATTGAGTGCATCACAGTCACAGATCATGGCCCATAAATTATGAAAATAGTTACGAAACTACAAAAGCAAGTGCCCCTTAGTTTACGTGAACAAAAGTATAAAATTATGTGAAAAAGTTTAAAAGTGTGTAAAAAAGAAGTCTAAAGATGTATGTAAAAGTTTAAATGTGTGTGTAAAAGTCTAAAGCTATGTGAAAGTAAAGACTTTTGAACACCTATGTTTTATGTTGTCGTGTAAAATCTCTATAAAAGAGATGTCGATGTACGTACAATGTTATCATCTGTTGTTCGAACTAGAACAATGCTTCTCCATATTTTTTGCATGTGAATAGGCCATTGTAAGATCAGTTCCCCAATTTTTACACAAAAGGACAATCTAATGTTTTCAAATCTTTTATCTGGAACTACTAATATGAATCAAGAACTAGGATGACTGCCAAGGGTGAATATCATTTATAACCATTTGTGTATGTCAATGACAAAGTGTTTGCTAATGTTTTTTTTTGTATAAAATGTATAAATCTAGACACTGGCCTATAAAAAATATTCGCTACATTATCTATACAGCCTTCATTATCTGTGTAAATAGTATTAGTTTGGATTTCTATGCATTTATATTTTGGGAGTTATAAATTTTTAGAACATGTTCTATAGTTGGATTTTCACTCTCGCAACAACATGCGGGCATAGTTTTCTAGTATTATGGCATGTTTACGTAAAGGTAATCGGAATAAGAAAACAAAATTGAATTCCAAATAGGGGATACTCCAATATTTATTGAATATTGGAGAATAAAAAAAATAGTGGGACCTACACTGTAACATCCTACATCGTCCATGGGAGTGATCCTTAAATGTATATTCTCATCCTTACCTAGCACGAGGCTTTTTGGGAGCTCACTGACTTCGGGTTCCTTAGGAACTCCGAAGTTAAGCGAGAAGGAGGCCAGAGCACTCCCATGATGGGTGACCCACTGGGAAGTTGCTTGTGAGTTCCAAAAAACAAAACCGTGAGAGAATGGTAAGCCCAAAGCGAACAATATCGTGCTACGGTAGTGGAGCAAGCCCGGGATGTGGTGGACCCGGGCCGGGATGTGACATACACAGATTTTATAATCCACCTCTAAAATTTGGAGGAATTGGATTCCCCATCAATCAATAGGATGGTTCAATTCATTGTATTCTGATTGCACAAATTAAGAAGTGTTAATATTTGGTTCCAACCAATGTCTAAAATATCAATGATATCGGAAATATCGGTAGTCTAAAAACACAGAAATTTCGTTGGAAATATCGGGATATTATCGATATCGATAAAAATTGAATAAAAACCACGGAAATTGTAAGAAAAACTTGGAAATTTTTATTGAAACTTTGCAGGATGTTTATTTAGTCAATTATCTATTAGTTTATCACAAAAAAAAATGGAAGGAAATGCATTGCATGATGGATTTAACTGATTTAAGTTGATTATATATCGAGCTGGCAAACATTGTGAGTGTAGAAAATATGTAGTAATTAATGAAAGAAGTTTAAACACATCATAATTATTTATATATAATGAATTAGTACAATATTTTACACTTTATACATTGCATAAGATACATGAGTGACTTAGTACCATATAGAGTTCCTATCAAGGTCTAAAATATCGATGATATCGGAAATATCGGTAGTCCAAAAACACGAAAATTTCGATGAAAATATTGGGATAATATCGATATTTTAGACTTTGGTTCAAACAAAATGATGGTATGATATGATGACAAACCCTAGCTCATTTTGTTCTACTGCCATTATGCCATACCCAAACAATGACTTCAATGAGTAGACACCAACAAACAAAAAAGTTGTACGAATTAGAGTTACCACTTAATAAAATCTATTAACATTGTGTAATTTAAACCCACATACCGCGTATATCGTATCTATTAGATTGGCCAAGTTGTTCTTGTTTTTAGCTTTCGAGTACTTTTGGTTTGATGAGCTTTCTAATTTAAATTCAAGATACCATTTTTGAAAATTGTGTAGATAATGAATATCACATTTATGAGATGAGAGATCTTGCGTGTATTTATAAGTAGTTGGGTTACTCCCCATATTATCAATTGATTTTATGATTGGACTCTATCTTCTTCATGGTATTAGAGCCAAGTTGTCTCACGTGTGAAGCTTATCGGCCAAACGTGTTTCACGTCACTCGATTTGTATTGTTCATATGTTTGACTTGAAAATTCGTCACACGTGAAAGTGTGTGTTGAGAATGAGTCACACCCTTGTATACGCTTATAAGTAGTTAGACTACTTCTTATATTGTCAATTGGTTTTATGATGAAACCCAGCTTCTTCAATTTATACATATTCTTGACGTTTTATTAAAATCATTGTCAATTAGATGGCATAAGTATGCTTTATGATGAATAAAAAAAGGGGAGATACGGCACTACTTTATAATTAAAAGTTGGGTATCAATCAAGTTGTATGTTCTTTGTTTCTTAGGCACATATAATCAGGTTGTGCCTAGGCTACTCAATTTACCTTTTCTACAATATTTTGATAAAACATACAAATGTTTTTTAATTTTACACTGACAGTTATATACTGTCACATAGTAATTTTAATTCACGTATTATAATATAAATATAAAAAATATAATATCACATAAAATATCGTATAAATTTAGAATATAATTTATTATATATATATATATTATAAATGAGGGAAACAAATCAATATTATAACATGATGATATGACAGTCACACTAATAAATTTCACCATTGCTACATTTTTTTATTAAAACAATTAGTGGATATAGGAAATTATGCCCTTGAGCAATTATAATGCCCTTTAGTGGACACTCGTAAAATATAGAGAGTAAAATGAAATTTGGTGAAGAGTATTTGTATTATAGCTAAAAATACGCTAAAATTAATTAAAAGTAATGTTTTTTTCATCAGTATTAGTACTAACTATTTTTTTTATACTATTCGATAACAAAACTGTAAGATCCCACATCATCTAAGGGAGTGAATCTTTAGCCTTATATGTACATTCTCACCTCCATTTAGCACGAGACATTTTGGGAGCTCACTGGCTTCGGGTTCTATCAAAACTCTGAAGTTAAGCGAGTTCGCACGAGAGTAATCCCATGATGTGTGACCCACTTCCCAGAAACAAAACTGCGAGGGCGTGGTCGGGTTCTAAAGCAGACAATATTGTGCTACGGTGAAGTCGAGCCGGAATGTAGTGGGGGTTCCGGACCAGGATGTAACAAAAAACGATCTCAATTTTTTTTGAATTTTTACATAAAAAATCTGTGTATAATAATTTATAATACGAATAAATCTATCATAAACGTAAATTTCGTTATCTGATCATAAGATGTCGAGAGAAAGAATTACTTTCATCAACAATTCGTATTTTAATGTCTTTTGAGCTCAGAATAGAATACTGTCTCTCTCTCTCTCTCTCTCCCTCTCTCCCTCTCTATAAAAGCCACGATTCTCTTCTTCCTTTCAATGGAAACAAACTACATAAAATTCCTCATAATCCAATCCCCTTTACGTCCTTCATTTCCAGGGATTTTGTTCTTCCGAACTATTTCACTGAGCAATCAGAAGAAGCCCCTCAAATTATCGTCGAGATTCGTGCCAGATTCCAAGTGGGTTCAGCTCGGATTTTGCAGCTCCTGAAAATTTACAGTGAGTATCGTTTTGTCTGTTATCCAAGTTTAGTAAATTACTGAGTTTTTTGAGTTAATTTAGTTGTCTGTGGATTCTGTGTGAGTGTTTAAGTTTGCAAGTATATCTGTGTTGCGAGTTTGTGGCAGTGAGCAATTTGGGATCGAAACTTTTTGTTTGGTTACCGAGAAAATTGGAGAAAGAAAATGAAGGGGAAGATTTGAACGTTGTTGTTACCGTTATTTTTGGTTCTGGGTATTGAAAATTGGAGGCAATACGTCCGTTGTGCTCGTTGAAATCAGAGTCTTTGTGTTGTTTTACATGACCCAACTTATCAAGGTTTGGATTTGAAATTATGGGTTTCGTTTGCAATTTGCTGCTTTTCTCAGGAACCAAACAAAGATTAAGGCTTGGGGATTGGAAAGAAGTGGGTGTGAGCTAATTTAACTTAGCCTTATAAAGTGTGAAAACCTTTTAGGAACAAAGCCTTATAAAAATATCAAACACATTAAAATGATTATATAACGGACAAAGCCTTATAAAGAACCAGGATCCTCTCCTGAGCAATTCCTAGGGATCCCGCAATCTTGCCCGTTTATTTTATATCGTGCGGTTAGTTTTCGTTAGGTACTATTCATATTTGAATTTTAAAATTTAAATTTTAAATGATTTCTTACCGCACGATATATAATGAACGAACAAGATTGCGGGATCTTTAGGATCCCTAGGGAATTGCTCAGGAGAGGATCCTGGTTCCCTTATAAAAATATCAAACACATTAAGAAAGATTATATAATCATTTAACTAATCTGAAGTGTGAAAGAACTAGACTTGACATTCGTGTCGTGTTTCTCGTGTTCGTGTCGTTTTCGTGTCATACCCGATATCTTAACGGGTCGTGTCGTATAATACCGTTAAAGTAAACAGGTAATATATCCCGACCCGAAATCAACCAGTTAATATTATCAGGTAATATAACTCGACCCGTTACTTGTTAAGAAAATATTTTTTAAATCAATAAAAATGAAAATGAAAAACATAATTTGACCAAAAAAAATGGAAAACATAATATCAAATTAGTATATACATACTAAATTTCGAAGTTGACCCATTCATGAAAGTTGTAAAGCTTTTCATTACAAATGATTACATTTTTCACACTTCTACAATAATATTGTTAATTTTATTAATTTTGCACTCAAATAAAAAACATTGTTCATGAGATTTGGAGGGTTTTAAAAATCTAAACGGCCATGTAACCATCATTTAAGCATTGAGCATGCAATTATGAATGTTTATTATGCTTTCACATCTTTCAGACTTATACATTAATGATTATGAATTTTGTTTATTTTGAACTCCTTTCAAAATACTATTCATGAGAGTTTGTGTGGTTTTAAAATTCAAACGATCATATACCCATCATCAAAGTGTGGAGGATGTGACTACGAGCATTTACATATTTTTTTTCTTATTTTTCACACATGTAAATTAATTATTATAATTTTTTTAATGTGTTTGGTATTTTTAAATTACTTGATATTTTTATTTTTAATGTGTTTTATGATTTTTAATCTCAATCTTTGCCTATAATATACTATAAAAATAAATAAATAAATAAAACTAAAATTTTAAAATTTATATAATAATAATTAATAAACTATATATACATATTCATTATATCTATTGTATTTTATAGTAAGTTTTTTTTAGTAGTTTAAAAAATTAAAATCATCAAAATAACTTTTTTCTTATCGTGTCGAAACAGGTTACCTGCGTGTCACTCTCGTGTAAACTTGTTAAGGACCCATTATTAACGGGTTATTATCGTGTGATCCGATAATAACCCGATTAGTTATCGTGTTGACCCAAAATCCGTTATTACGTGTCGTGTAAGAAATTTTCAGGTCTAGAAAGAACGCAGAAAGAAAACACAGATGTCTCCCAACAGATATAGATTACGGGGATTGGTTTTTGTGTTCAGTCTCTAAGCTGAATCTTTAGTAAAACTAGTTGTGCAACTGGGATTGGTTTTTGTGTTCAGGTCTTTTCGTTTTTGGTCCGTATTGATGCTATGGTTAGCTATCATGAGTAAGATCTTCAGCTTCTTATGATACAAGCGATATTCTACTTTAAACTAATATAGATTACGGGGTTCAAATCTGAGTGCACAGGAGGGAGCACATCCAGTCTTAAGTTGGAAAAATGGCAATGCCTTCTCCAGTCAAAGTGGTTCTTGGCTCGATTGCTTTTGCAGTCTTTTGGGTGTTGGCTGTGTTTCCGGCTATCCCTTTCTTGCCAATCGGTAGGACTGCAGGGTCCCTCCTCGGGGCAATGCTTACGGTTGTTTTCCGAGTCTTAACTCCTGATCAAGCATACGCTGCTATTGATCTCCCAATCATTGGTCTTCTGTTTGGGACAATGGTTGTGAGTATCTATCTCGAAAGAGCAGATATGTTCAAGTATTTGGGCAAGTTGCTCATGTGGAAAACTCAAGGGGCAAAGGACTTGCTCTGTCGAATCTGTTTGATTTCTGCAGTTTCGAGCGCTCTCTTCACCAATGACACCTCTTGCGTGGTTTTGACCGAGTTTGTTTTAGAAGTTGCAGGACAACATAACCTCCCACCTCATCCTTTCCTACTCGCCCTTGCCTCGAGTGCAAACATTGGGTCTGCAGCAACCCCGATTGGCAATCCTCAAAACCTTGTTATAGCTGTTCAGAGTAAGATATCTTTTGGGACATTTGTGATTGGAATTCTCCCTGCGATGCTTGTGGGAGTTTGTGTGAATGCTTTGATTCTTCTATGTATGTTCTGGAGATTGTTGTCTGTCCAGATGGATGAGGAAGATCCAGCTACATTAACACATAGTACATCCTTAAACTCTCAAGAAATGAACTCTAGATTGGAAACCCCGACTGTGCAAAGTTCTCTGAATGTTAATGTGAGCATAGGTAATTTCGAGACTCTTAGAAACCGCTTACCTTCTAGCGAGAATGAAGTAAACAAGGTTCCTAGTGGCGTGATAGAGTCAGCAAGAATTTCAAGTGCATCAAAAGAGGAGATAAATGATTTGTCTTCTCATAAAAGGGACGAAACAATCCCATCAAAAAGGTCTCCATCGAACGATAGACAAACAGATGCATTTCCTACGGAGTCATTGGAAGGGAAGGAACATCTGACCACAAGATGGAAAAGGATATTGTGGAAATCTGGTGTTTACCTTATTACTATAGGAATGCTGATTGCACTGCTTATGGGCCTCAATATGTCGTGGTGTGCGATTACTGCTGCACTTGCTCTGGTTGTTCTTGACTTCACGGATGCCCGTCCAAGCCTAGAAAAGGTAAGTTTCACAAGCACGAAGTCACTCCGAACGTTAGATTAGATTACAAATGTAACAAGTTTCTTTCTTTCTTTGACAGGTTTCCTATTCACTCTTGATTTTCTTCTGCGGAATGTTTATAACCGTCAATGGATTCAACAAGACCGGCATTCCAAGCGATCTTTGGGACTTCATGGAGCCGCATGCGCAAATTGATCGTGCTAGCGGCATATATGTTCTTGCAGTCACCATACTTGTGCTGTCAAATTTGGCTTCAAATGTACCAACTGGTTTGTATGCTGATATTATTTTCCGTTTGCACTCTATAAGAACCAAAATATTCTCACACTTTCAGCTGCCACTTAACATGCATGTTTTTTTTTCTTTTATGTTGGATAGTTTTGTTGCTTGGAGGGCGGGTGGCAGCGTCGGCGGCCCTAATCTCTGCCGCGGAGGAGAAGAAGGCGTGGCTCCTATTAGCTTGGGTGAGCACCGTGGCCGGAAACCTGTCGCTTTTGGGATCAGCAGCCAACTTGATAGTGTGCGAGCAGGCTCGCCAATCTCCACAACTTGCCTACACATTGTCCTTCTGGAGCCATCTGAAATTTGGAGTCCCCTCCACACTTATAGTCACTGCTATTGGTTTAACACTAATTAGATGAAACATTTGGACAACAAAGAAAGCAAGCATCTTTATATAGTTTTATTTCTACATTTGTATGGAAAAGGTTGCTCCTTTGTGACCGAAAGGTCACGGGTTCGAGCAATGAAAACCACCTCTTTGCAAAGTAAGGGCAAAGATGCGTACGATAGAAGTTCCCCTGATCCTCGCAAAGCACGGAGCCTTATTGGTTACAGTCCTTGGTTTTTTTTTTTTTAACAAACGATATTATTTTCACTAGGGGAGTGAGCTTAGCCTCACAACGAGCTAACAATAAAATGGTTCAAAATTAGCTTATGGTAAGAATCTAACCTAAGACTTCTCATTTATAAGTGAAAATGAATATCATTAGACCGTTGTACTATGTGAAATTTTACTATAATCTGTAGGCCATCAGCCTTTGGGTTCAATTGCTTTTGAAATAGATGGATTATGGGCCTTTTGACCGGAAAAAAAAATAGAGAAGAAAAAATTATGGGCCTGTAGAGTAGTTAGATTTTGGGCCTTACAGGACATATATACTTGATTAGTGGTAAATACATATAGAATCAGTCATGATGACTATTGTAGTGCTAAATTGCTAAAGACCGTTATCAAACTTTTGGGATTGGCTATAATACTTACATATATTTTCATGCAACTATTATTTGACAATTAGATATAATTCAATAGATGTATTTTACCCAATCATCATTTGATCGTCGTGATAGTAATTGTATTAAATACATGTAAAGTATTAAATCTAAAACTTTTAATAAAAAAATAAACTAAAGAAACCCAAAACCAACACTTTTTTGTAGTATGTTATGGTTTATGTTGTAGTTAGTGATTGTGTAAATACTAATAAATTATATTTAAGATTTATGTGTAATCTAGAAGATCTTAGGCTTTCTTTTTTGTAAGACAAGTAAGCTCCTTATGTTTACTATAAATAAATGCACAAGGTAAGGGAAAAAGATACACACATAATTTTCCTACACCTCTCTTTTCTCTCTACCGTCGCACTCTGTCTCTCTCCTTTAGTTAAATTCGGCCACAACAATTTAGTGTTTTCTGACGTTGCTTTGAGTTCTATTTTTAATTAAAAGTTTGTAACAGTTTTGTGTGTATATTCCTTGAAACATAATGATTTTTAGCTTAAGAAGAATGAGAAGGCTATTTTGTCATGTCTTGGCGGCTATCATAACTTGGAACTTAGAAGCCATTTCAAGTATGATTCAAGTAACATTGATGAATGAGTATCAATGCGTTGAGAAAGTTTTTAAACTATACCCACCTCCCTTGGAGTTCATTTTTTTAGTGTGACGCATTCTGCCATGTAATATTATTTATTTAATAATTTCATCTGCTTATTACTCAACTTCTGCTTACAATTCTTAAAAAATCATGTTTGTCTATATTATAACACATAAATTTATAACAGTACGTGAAAATATAATTATCTAACATTCCGACTTGGCCCCAACATAAAGCAAAAGCCAAATCATTACACAAGAAAAGGATTGTGGGAGCACGACACGTGCGATCCATGGCCCCACAAATTTTAGCCTGAAATAGCTTTGGTGCATCCCCTTGTGTGTAGGTTGGCCATCTTTCACCCCCAACACCAAACTCTTGCCTTACGTTTAGCAAAATAATTGGTACAAAATACAAAAGAAACAGAATTTTCCTCCAATGAAAATCAATTATAAAATAATTAACGAGAACAGGTTAAGTTAGCAAGGATAATTTTTTCATTAATTAAGGCTTAAGTTTGAGTTTCGTTGCAAAAAAATCTCTCTTATAGGCGGTCTGTAAAAAAAAAATAAAAAAATAAGTGTAGGTTCTCAAAGATACTTGTAATAAGGTCATTTCCAAGCGAATGAGGGCCAAGGGACTCCTTTTAGCCCTATATCCCTATAACTCTGCAAGAAATTATATTTTAATGAATAGTGTTAGACTATATTTTATACTATCTCCAACCGAGGATGTCAAATGGTCATAGGCCAAACATTGCTCTTTGACAAAAAATCATCTTCAACCAAGGGGGCTAAAGGGTCATATGCCAAACATAATTTATGATTTTAATTGAATTAATACGGTTAATTAAATTAAACTACTATATTAAAATAAGGTTTTCGGACATATTTTGAGTGTCATTTGTTGTCAAATGAATAAGCCTCCGAATTTCTTATCTTTAATTTTTTTTTATAGGATTTCGAGTTATACGTGTCGCTAACATGAATAACTCTCCAAATTTCTTATCTTTATGTAATCTCAATAATTTTTTGGATAGGATTTCGAGTGACACATGTTGTTAAAGTGAGTAACTTTTCAGATTTCTTATCTTTATGTAATCTTAATAATTTTTCATATTGGATTTCTAGTGCCACGTGTCGAGATGTAATTGGTTGTGCAAATTTTAGATAGGATTCTTATCTACGTGGCACTTCTTATCTTCAGCTTTCAATGTTGTAGAAATGGTGTAGGTATTTATAGGGAAAAAAAATTAGATTTTATTTTTTAAATTCGTCTTAAAAAGAATAATTCAAATTCTAACGGTAACTTGACAGCAGCATGAGGTTAGTTAGCCGCTGCTAGCTGGTGTCATGCTAACACCAGGTAACCGTTAACATTCAAATGGGTTGAGCTGGAAGGCTGGCAAAATGTCAAGCTTGACATTCTGGTGCTGGAGGGCTGGCTGGTTGGTTAGAAATGGCCAACCCGTTGGTCTGATTTGAGGGTTTGGACTCGGTGGGGCCCATAAGCCCTTTGGCCTAGCCCTCGGTTGAAGACGATTTTCGTGTCATTCCGAGCAATTTTTAGCCCTATAACCTTTTAACTGAGTTGGTTGGAGATGGCCTAATGCTTTGACTCTGAGATGGGGGAGCGTCCTCTGCCCCTAAGCTTTTAAATACCAAATAAAATCAATCCTAATTCCTAAGAAATTAATTTAGTATTTTTTTCCATAATAATATTATATTAATTCCTTAATTCCTGTACCATGTTTTCGGTGAATAAGACTACCAAAGTGCGACATATGCGACCGGATCTCTCCACCTCAAACTGTGACTAAAAATGCAGTGTGAAAACAAAAACAAAACGTCATATATTCATCCTAAGATTATCACGAATTAAGAAAACAAACAAACAAGGAGACGGCCCGCATGTATCTCGTGTGCGAAGTCAGCTACGACGAAAGATTCACAAACTTTCACAATCACAATTTGAAGCTTGAAATTTTTGGAGTGTTTTTGTATCGTAGGCGGCCTCAACTCGAAAAGCAAAGAGTGCATTTCCACATGATGTGTCCAGTGAAAGCTTTCGTGCAACCAATGCATAATCTGAGTAGTGTCATCTTTCTAATGAATGCTAGCCGCATATTTAAACAGTGAACTATCTGTTAAAAAAAAACTCATTTGATACGTCTTATTTGCATGGAGAAGTATTGATCTCTTTACATGAGGAGAGATTTTATCGCATGTTGTTAAGGGACCGCTATATGCTCACACACCAACCATTTTCTGCACAACAACGAGAAGTGTATGAAACTCAAGGAGACCACCACAAACATCCAGTCATTGACGGCCACGATGGAGGACAATGGTTCGTTTACATGCTCAAAATTTTATTTGGAGAACAAGTGGTGGCAAAATACGGTTATCCACCTCTTTCGGATCCAGAGAGGCCATGTGGAATTTCACCCTGCCCGCAACCACAGTCAAGTAGACTCGCTAACTCAGAGCATCGAATTTTGAACCTCTCACAATTTTTTGTTTATTGGGGGGACCTCCCACATGCTCGAAATTCCATTTTAGTTAGATATTCAGAAGAAAAAAAATATTAATATGAAATTTAAAATAGGGAGTTTTAACAAAACACTCATGGTACTGTTCACTTTTAACGAAAAACTACATTTTTACCTTTAACTGGTACTATTCACTATACATTTAAAAATGATTTTTCGTTAAAAGAGAAGTTTTTTTGGACTTTTCGTTAGTTTTTCTTTCTTTTAATAGGGTAAAAACTATTTGACTTTCTATAGCAAACAAAAAAGAAAAACAAATATTTAAAAACTCAATATATACTTTGATGGGTACTAAATTTTGTGAAGAAGAGGCACATTACCATTTACTACCAAAATTCTCCTATATTACGGTGTATCTTAAGTGTCATAATTTTTTGCCTTAGATCTTCGTCATAAATTTTTTATCAATGATTTAATAGCTAATATTCTCAGTGTATTGAATACCACATATCATACTCAAAATACCCTCATGTACCTCTTTTTATAATAATTTTTCAAAGTACCGATAACAACTTCCTCAATGATCTTATCCTATAATGAATCAAAGATCATTATGTAAATATTATGCTACGTTTACGTAAAGGTAATCGAAAAAAAAAAAAACAAAATTGAATTCCGAATACGGAATACTTTAATGTTTACTGAATATTGGATAATAACAAAAATAGTGGGACCCACACTGAATTTTAGAGGAGGAATTGGATTCCCCATCAATCAATAGGATGGTTCAATTCATTTTGTTCTGATTGCACATATTAAGAAGTGTTAATATTTGGTTCCAACAAAATGATGGTATGATATGATGACAAACCCTAGCTCATTTTGTTCTGCTGCCATTTTGCCATACCCAAACAATGATTTAAATGAGTAGACACCAACAAACAAAAAAGTTTGTACAAAACAAAATTACCACTTAACAAAATCTATAATTAACATTGTGTAATTTAAACTCACATACCGTCAATGTCGTGTCTATTAGATTGACCAAGTTGTCCTTATTTTTTTTGGAGTTTTAACGAAAAGTCCGCGATACTGTTCACTTTAATAAAAAACCATATTTTTACACTAAAAAGTCAAACCTGGTACTATTTACTTTACCCTTTATTTTGTCCTTATTGTTAAAACTCAAAGTTTTCAAGCCATTTTCATTAGTTTTTCTTATTTTTTTTGCTTTCAAGTATTTTTGGTTTGAAAAGCTTTTTGATTTAAATTCAGATACCCCTTTTGAAATTTGTGTTGATAATGAATCTCACATTAATGGAATGAGAGACCTTACGTGTACTTATAAGTAGTTGAGTTACTCCTCATACTGCCAATTGATTTTATAATGAAATTCTATC